GCTGAGCAAGGCCCTTCAGCCCACGCTCACTCCCTTGATCTCAGCCCAAGCATGCTCCAGGGGTCTCTGATCAGTTTGCTGGCAGCTCTTGCACTCTGGGAGCTGGCCAGAGCAGGAGGGCAGGTACTTGCTGTGCCACGCAGCCCGGGCTCCATTGCCACGAAGCGTGGCCCGCAGGTGCACGAGGAGCTGGGCTCCATTTCGTCCGGCACCAGTGCTCAGGGTGTTGGCTGGATGCCTCCTGTCACTGACGCAGGGGCCCCTCCCCTCCTCCCCCGCCCGGGGTCACCTCCTGTGTTTTCAGCCGCGCTCTCAGTATCAGGTAGGGCACGTGGTAAGACCACAGGCTCCAGCGAGCTCGGGGAGTGGCCACGGCAGAGCCTCGAAGGAGCAGGACGCTCGCTGCAGCTTCACAATGATGGAGATGCCTCCCTCGAGCCAGGTGAAGGGTTGGGGGGGATTTCCAGGGTCAGGGAGGGGACACCTGTGGTGTCTTCCTCCCCCCCCCCGATAGGGTGAGCACCGGGTCACGTGGCCCGTGCAGGCAGGGACGGGCTCCACGCCCAGAGCTGGGGGCCTGGGAGCAAAATGGAACACTGGGGCCCCGATCCTGCAGGGAGCTCCATGCTGACCCTTGCACTCCTTGCAGGAGTAGAGACCCAAGCTGCAGCTGCAGGGAAGCGGCTTTCTGCCCAGTCCTCCAGGCACAGACGCTGCAGGGCCCGTGTGCTGGGCAAAGCTCCATGCTGGGTGTCAGGGGCCAGGTGCTCGGGACAGGCCAGCGTGGAGTGGAAATCACACTGTCCCCGCATGGTTCTTGGGTTCGGTCCTGCCCCAAGGCACCACAGAGCAGCCCCTTTGGCTGAGCAGACCCCAGGGCTGCTGTGAGGCTGGGAAGGGAAGCCGGGCCAGCCTGCCCCGGGGAGTTTGCAGCGCCTCAACCTCAGCACGCAGCTCAGTCAGAAGGAAACTGCAGGCCCAGGCCCAGGCCCAATTCTGGTGCACACAACGGCAGCTTCCCACAGTCAGCTTCCCACAGTCAGCAGCACTGAACTTGCCCATTTACCCTAGCTGGGCTCGGGCTCGGCAGGGCTGAGCTGCAAGCTGCTCTCTGATGTGGTTTAAGCCAGGGCGGGGTCTCCAGGCGGGGCTGGCCCCACATGTCTGGGGACAACACGTCTGATCACCCCTGAGCCAGAGGAACCTGAGCTCTGTGGGTTTTACATGTCTCTTCCCTCAGGCATCTTTATTAGCAATTCAGGCAGCCACAGACGGGAAAAGACCTGTCGGCCCCTGTGAAACTTCGCAAAGGACAGCGCGGTCGATCCCCTGAGTGCCAGTATGTGTCTGCCTGTGTGTCCAGGCCCAGGGACACCCCCTTGGCAGGGGAGCGCCACCGTGTGGGGTCCCAAAGCCTCCCAGTGGGGCCTGACGTGACTCATGGGACAGACTCCCTGCCCCCCGCCCCATAGACATCGGGCCTACAGGGCTCCGGATCTGGCAGTGCCCCCATCTCAGGACAGTGACTGCAACTCTAGTCCTGAGTGCCGAGTGCTGGGCAGCTCTGTTCTGGGTGCTGAGCACCAGTTCTGGCTGCTGAGCTCTGAACAGTTCCAATTCTGGGTGCTGAGCTTTGGTTCTGGGTGCTGAGCACTGGGCAGCTCCGGTTCTGGGTGCTGAGCACCAGTTCTGGCTGCTGAGCTATGGACAGCTTCAATTCTGGGTTCTGAGCTCTGGTTCTGGGTGCTGAATTCTGGTTCTGGGTGCTGAGCACTGTGCAGCTCCGGTTCTGGGTGCCGAGCTCCGGTTCTGGGTGCTCAGCGCTGCGCAGCTCCGGTTCTGGGTGCTGAGCACCAGTTCTGGCTGCTGAGCTATGGACAGCTTCAATTCTGGGTTCTGAGCTCTGGTTCTGGGTGCTGAGCTCCGGTTCTGGGTGCCGAGTGCAGGGCAGTTCCAATTCAAGGAGCTGAGCCCTCGTCCCTGCTGTCAGGCCCCGGTTGGACACTCTGCTCACCGACACGTTCGCTGTTTGTCAGTGAAATGTGGAGCTGTTCGGGGCTTCGAGCCATCGCCCTGCACTGGGGTACTTTCCAGATGCCCGGGGAGTGACACAGACTTGCAGGAACCAAAGGAGATCCCTAACTGGGTTGCTGCTCCCCTGCCCACAGGACATCATGCCAGCCTGGCCCCCTCCACACCTGGCAGCCCCCAGCACACAAGACCCCGGCCCTGGAGAGTCAGTAACTCTCACAATGACTGTAGCCCTGGAATGGCCCCCACTGCTGTGTTGTGGTGAGACAGGAACTCGGTGTCTGCATTCAGTGGCCTCTCGGTGCGGCAGGGCGTAATGTAACCGTCAGTTTGGGTGCACCACTTTGAGGGTCAAATCAGGACGAACTGCTGAGAAGCAGAGCTACTTACAGCCCAAGACTTGGGGACCTCCTCTATAAGGCACCAAACCAGCCACACGGAGCACTTCGGCGGCCAATCTGGCCAGGCAAGAAGTCTCACAAGCCATCCCCTCAGACGTGCCAGCTTTACCTGTGCCCCACAGAGGAGAGGTTATGAAAACCAATCCCACCAACTCCGAACAGGTTCTCCGGGTCCAAAAGGACCAGCCACGCTCCCAGGTCGATGTACACCTCGGATCTTACCCAAAGAGCGCACTGGGCCGATCCTTTAGAAACTAAGATCCAAAGGTTTATTCATAAAAAGGAAGAAAAGCTGGAGAGCAGAATTGTTAAAGAAATCGCATGACACACAACAATCACCAAGTTCTTGATGCAGGCTCTTGGCAGAGATGGAATAAATTGCTCTCTAAAAAGTCTCTGGAGTACATCCTGGCTGTGTCTAGACTGGCAAGTTCTTCCGCAAAATCATGCGGAAAAACTTGCCAGCTGTCTACACTGGCCGCTTGAATTTCCGGAAAAGCACTGACAATCTCATGTAAAATCATCAGTGCTTTTCCGGAAATACTATGCTGCTCCCGTTCAGGCAAAAGTCTTTTTCCAAAAGACTTTTGCGCAAAAGGGCCGGTGTAGACAGCAGAGTACTGTTTTCCGCAAAAAAGCCCTGATCACGAAAATGGTGATCGGGGCTTTTTTGCAGAAAACCGCGTCTAGATTGGCCATGGACGCTTTTCAGCAAAAAGTGCTTTTGTGGAAAAGCATCTTGCCAATCTAGACGCAATTTTTCCGAAAATGCTTTTAACGGAAAACTTTTCCATTAAAAGCATTTTCGGAAAATCATGCCAGTGTCGATGTAGCCCCTGTGTTAGGAGGGGTCAACAGATCCCTCTGGTCATAGCAAGGATGCTTCTGAAGTGAAGGGCAGGACTGAAGACAAAAATGGAGGAGCCCCAAGGATCCATTTATGATCTTGCCCATGTGGAGGGAAATCCATTGTCCTCCTGCATGAAGGTACCTCCCAAAATAGAGCTGATCACATGATCAAGGGACCTATCCTGTCCTTTAGGCAAGGAGCCATGGTGTGCCTGTTGGCCTGCAGGTTTGTAGCAGAATTCCTCAGGTGTTTATCGGCAACACTTCAAGGCCCTTATCCATGAAATTCACTGAGGCTACATCTTCACTGTAAGTTTTTTCAGCAGAAAATATGCTAATGAGGGACTCATTAGTATGAGTCATGCTCTCATTAGCATATTTTCTGCCGTTTCTTTTTGCGCAAGGGGTTTTTGCGCAAAAAGAAGCAGTGTGGACGGGGGGGGATTTTTGGTGCAAAACCCTCATTTTGCGCAAGATCCTTATGCCCCCAAAAAGGAGGTATACCGATCTTGCACCAAAAGGGGTTTTTGCGCAAAAAGGAAACGTCCACACTGCTTGTTTTTGTGCAAAAACCCCGTGCGAAAATACGGCTTGGCGGCAAATATGCAAATGAGAGCACAACTTATGCTAATGAGTCCCTCGTTAGCATATTTTCTGCTGCAAAAAACTGTAGTGTAGACATAGCCTGAGTAGCCGCCTCTTACCGTAGGTGGGTGATGCCTGCTGCTATCTCCCAGGCGCAAACATTTAAAAAACAAGGACTTAGCCCACACTCATAACTTCACGTAGCAAAATCATACGGGCAGATGAGTAGCATCAACAGAATCAGCATCACATACGCTTTTGATAGACACCTCACAAAGCCCACCTTGCACAGAATTTGGGGCAAACACACAACCGTGGGTGCAACAACCAGCTGCATTTTCCCGTTAAATCCAGTAACGTCACACTAGGGCGCTCCCGAGGCACCGAGCTTGCTGGGCTCAGCTCTCAGCCTGACAGGGCACCTGGGCTCTCACTACTAGCAGAACAGGTGCCCACGTCACACCAACCTAGCAGGCATGTGACAATGCCCTCCCTAGCCATCTTGGCAGTGGGCAAGGGCTGAACGGAGCCGCAGAGCTGCTCAGGGGGCTGTGCAATGGGGCAGCACCAGACCTTTCCAGCTGGCAGCAAAGTTCTGCAAGGAGAACCCCCCTTTGGTGCGCAGTGTGTCCCTGGGGACGAGGTCTTGGGTTAGGCTGCAGAATCCCGGCTTGGGCGACGGACATCCATCCCGTCGCTCCGCAGCACTGTGGGCTGCTGTTGTGTGGAGTTGTGCAGGACTGCATGGTGCCACATGGTGTTGTGGTGCAGTGCGGTGTTGTGGGGCAGTGCTGTGTTGCAGGGGAGTGCTGTATTGTGTTGTTAGGTAGCTGTGCTCTGTGAGGTTGTGTTGCTCTGCAGCTGTGTGGTGACAGTGCTGTGTAGTGATGGTGTGTGGTGCTGTATTGCAGTGCTGTGTTGTGTTAATGTGTTGTGTGCAATGTTGTGTTACATTGCTGCTGTGTTCTGTCGCTGGGTAGCTGTGCGGTGTTCTGTTCTGTTGCTGTGTGGTGTAGCTCTGGTGCTGTGTTGTGTTGCTGTGCGGTGCTATGTAGCTGTATTTTGTTGTTGTGCAGTGCTGTGTAGCTGTGCTGTGCTTGTGCGGAGCCGTGTTGCTATGTGGTGTGACTGTGGTGCTGTGTTGTGGTGTGTAGCTGTGCTGTGTTGTTGTGTGGTGGTGTGTAGCTGTGCTGTGTTGTTCAGTACTATAGAGCAATGTTGTGCTGTGTAGCTGTGCTGTGGTTGTGCAGCTCCATGTTGCTACGTGGTATAACTGTGGTGCTGCATTGTGTTATGTGGTGGTGTGTAGGTGTGTTGTGTTGTTGTGGGGTGCTGTGTAGCTGTGCTGTGTTGTGCAGCGCCATGTTGCTATGTGGTTTAACTGTGGTACTGCATTGTGTTGTTATGTGGTGGTGTATAGGTGTCTTGTGTTGTTGTGTAGCTGTGCTGTGTTGTGCAGCGCCATGTTGCTATGTGGTTTAACTGTGGTACTGCATTGTGTTGCTGCGTGGCGCTATGTAGCTGTATTGTGTTGTGCAGTGCTATGTAGCTATGCTGTGGTTGTGCAGAGCCATGTTGCACTGTGGTGTAACTGCCGTACTGTGTTGTGTAGCTGTGTGGTGCTGTGTCATGCAGCAAAGCTCCTTGCTAACGATGTTTCCCCATCACAGACCTCCAGCCCCTGGTCGGCCGAGCCCCCGGTTACCCCCAGCTTCTACTACGAGGAAGATCAGTACTCTGAGGCGGGCAGCGCCCTGCCCGAGGTGTGTGAGAAGGGGTCCATCCAGGTCTTTGCCCGCACCTACCAGCCCGCTGTCTACCTGCTGCTGTCGCTGCTGGGCGTGGCGGGGAATGGCTTGGTGCTGCTCACCCACGCCCGCTACCGCCAGGCCCACTCCGTGACCGACGTCTGCCTGCTGCACCTGGCCGTGGCCGACCTGCTGCTGCTGCTGACGCTGCCCTTCGCCGTGGCAGGCTTGCTGCAGGGCTGGCCAACGAGCACCGACGCCTGCCGGACCCTGCACGGCTTCTACGCCCTCAACTTCTACAGCGGCTTCCTCTTCCTGACCTGCATCAGCGTGGACCGCTACGTGGCCATCGTCCGGGCGCCCACTGCCTTCCGCCTGCGCCCCCGGGCCCGCTGCTACGGCTGGCTGGCCGCCGGGCTGGCCTGGCTGCTCTCTACCCTGCTGGCACTGCCCCAGTTTGTGTACAGACAGGCCGAGCCACACCAGGGCCGCCCGCTCTGCCGGGTGCTCTTCCCTTCCAGCATCTCCAAGGCTGCCCTGGGAGCCACCAACCTGGCCCAGGTCATCCTGGGCTTTGTGCTGCCCTTCCTGGTCATGGCCTCCTGCTATGCAGCCGTGGCCCGCACCCTGCTGGCTGCCCGCAGCTTCCAGCGGCACAAGGCCCTCCGCGTCACCCTGGCCCTGGTGCTCGTCTTCGTGGCCCTGCAGCTGCCCCACAGCCTGATGGTGCTGCTGGACACGGCCGACATGCTGGGCAGCCGGCAGATGAGCTGCGCCCAGAGCCGCCGCAAGGACCTGGCGCTGATGGTGACCAGCAGCCTGGCCTTCGCCCGCTGCTGCCTCAACCCTGTGCTCTACGCCTTCGTGGGCGTGCGCTTCCGGAGGGAGCTGTGGCTCCTGGCCAGCGACGTGGGCTGCGTGGGCCGGGCACGGGGCGGGCAGTGCTCCAGGCGCCGGGCATCGTTCTCCACCTGCCTGGAGACCGTGTAGGGGCAGAGCTGACCCAGGGCTCAGCCCCCGCTGCTGGGGCAGACCCATGGGAGGAGGCAGTGTCGTGTTGTAACAGCACCCTCCCCTGGCCATTCCAGGGGTACCATTCACAGAGGCTGGGGTAGGGACCAGAGTTACACTGCAATAACTCAACCTAAGGTACATGGACTCCAACTATGGTATTCATGAAGCTGGAGGTATGAAAATTAGGTCAACTTTGCCCTGTAATGTAGATCTGCCCAAAGAAGGGAAGTTGGGAAGGGGAAACAATGTCACATTCCCTTCATTGCTCAATCTCTCTACTTCCTTCCTCTTCCTCAGTGCTCTCTCTTATTTGTGAGCCTTCTCAAAAACAGGAGGGAATATGTCATAGATAATCTGACAAAATACAGTCAAGTGTGTGTGTGTGTGTCTGTGTAATGCCGAGCTCTGTCTTTGGAAGTAGAAACATAATCAAGCTACCCGCCCTGTGAATGTATAAAAGCTGCCCTGGGCACCTGCGTGTGATTGTTGTTCATGTGCTTGTGATACCTCATTACATCGCCAGCTCTAGCTGCCTAGCTGTGGTGGGTGTGTGTGTGGGGGGGGGGGGGGGGGCTGCAGACGACTTGACTCTAGCCAGGTGGGAGTGGCTGCTGGGAAGGAGCAGAGAGTATTGTCCCCCCCTTCCCCCCCCACGGCTGAGGGAGGAGCCTGGGAAGCCAAGGTGGGTGGGAGGGGGTAGGGCGATGAATGTCCCTCACCCAGGAGGGACTGCACCTGGCCAGAAGACACTGTCTTGTCTGTATATGAACACGTCAGCAAGCCAGAGGGGAAACTGAGGCAGGGAGGCTGCAGGGCCAGGGCATGAGGTGTGCTCTGGAGGCGGTCACCCCGTTGCATGCGGTCTTGTGGTCAGACAGGCTAACCTTCCAAGAGCCGCCCTGGCCTCTGCCCCAGATCCTGGGGGAGAAGGGGGGGCAGGTGGCCGCATGGGGGCACCCATCTTGTGCTGTCCCCTTGTCACCCCTGGGTGGTGGTTGCCCCTCGACAGGCTTTTTGGGGTGCTTATGAGATCAGTGGAAATGACACATGGCTGAGAGCAAGGGATGGTGCTAGCATGTAGGGAGGAACATGGGCGGGGGGGCCAACAGGCTAGAAATGGGACAAGGCCAGGCCCATTTCTGTAATTCCCCATGGATACGGGAGCCTCTGGCTGGGGTGCCCTGCAGGGGGCAGCATAACCAAGCTTTTCATCCCAGGCCCGTCCCACCAGCTGTAGCTAATGGCTTAGAGGGCACTGGAGTCATTCATGTGCCCTAGCATCTTGCAGGGTCAGGGGGCTCCGGGGTGTCCAGCCCCGTCTAAGCCAGTGTCCGGCCTGTCTCTGCCTTCCAGTCCTTGAGCCACAGCCTCAGGCTGGGTGTGCGCGCCTCACAGAACTGCGCCAGGATCGTCAGCGTAAGCAGGTCCTCTGCGGTTTGGGCTCCGACCCCGAACACCCACTTGCGGCAGTATTGTGCCAAGCGGGAGGCCAAATCCACATAGGTTTCCCCTGGCTCCTTCGGCCACCCCCCGCCCAGAACTTCTTCCTGTACATCTCTGGGGTCAGCCCGAACTCGTGCAGAAGGGCCTCCTTGACCCGTTCGTAATCACCCGGCTGCAGATCCTCCAGCTGGTTGAGCACCCCTGCAGCTTGCTGATTCAGCACGGGGGTGAGCTCTTGCAGCCAGTCAGCTGGGGGAATCTGGTGCCGTTCACAGGCCCGCTCAAAGGAGCTGAGGAACCCGTCCAGGTCCCCCACGTCTTTACACTGGGCTAGCATGAGCTTCTCCAAGCGTCTGGACGCCCCTGGGGCCCTCACCCCTGGGGCCTCTCAGCTTCTCCGCTCTGCCATGGCCCGCTCATGCTGTCGCTGCTCTCTACGGTCTTGCCGCCCTTTCTCTTGTGACTCCAATTCTTTTAGCCTCAGCTCGATCTCCAGCTGTCATAGCTCGGCCAGGCTGGACTCCGCCCTGGAAAAACTGCGGCCGGCAGGGCTTGGCTGGGTGGGCACCGCGTCTCTCTGGCGGGCTCCAGTCCTTCATCCGGTCTGAGAGCCTGAGATGCTCCTCGGGGGTGTCTGGCTGCTCCTCGCTGGGACAGGATCCCGGCCCCTGGATGGGTCATTCTCTTCCAGCCGGGCAATCAACTGGGCCTTGGTTGCTTTCTCCATGGGTAGGCCCCTCTCTCTGCACAGTCCCACCAGCTCTGCCTTCAGGAGTTGGGTGTTGGCCATCTCCCCACTGGTCCCCACGGTCTCGTGCTGTAGCGCCCCACGATTCCCGCTTTGCTCTGTCTCCAGCACTCCTGGCTCTAAGGCCTTTGCTTCTACTGTGCCTTGACACTTGCTGCTGGAAGCTCCATCCACAGGGTGCAGTGCAGCCCACCCCTGACACCACTGTGGTGGCGCAGTGGGGGGTTCCCCCGGTCCTGCAGCCCCGTAGCAGCACGAACAGTCTCCCCCAGCCGGTAGAATAGAGAGGGGTGTATTGATTTTCCAGAATACAGCACAGCCCATAGGCAATGTGGCTACAGGGGCTAGGGCCAGGATGCCTCAGACCCTCGGATTAGGGGTCTGTCACCCCCAGCCCCCAGCTTAGCCTCTTCTCCCCATGCTTCCCAGACCGCAACTGCCTTCCCCCGAAACCTACAGTTGGTCTCCACCTCCCTGCCTATTGTCTCCCTCCCTGCTCTCAACCGGTCGGTCGGACAGGTTGGGGGTCTTTTGCCTACGGGACTCAGCAGCTGTCCTGCTGGGCCGTGCTACAGATAGTCACCCACAGCCCACCGCCCAAGCATAGCAACCAGCAAGGTACTAACACTACACCACACCAGCCCTGTCTAAGCCAGTGTCCAGCCTGCTCCTAATGGTCTCTTCTCGGCCCCATCTCCCAGGGCTGAGCAGCAGGCCCTACAGATGGGAGGGGGGTTCTCGGCTCCCTTGGATCCCTGGCTCTCTGCTGGCAGATGTGGCTGCCAATGCTGGGGCAGAGGGAGGAGCAGCCCCGGCTGGTGGTCCCCACAAGGCACCGCTGTAGGAGAGTCCCGCTCCCTGCAGGCCGGGCCTCACCCTGACAACTCAACACGCTGGCAGTGCTTTTAAATCCCAGTGCATCACCCAGCCTCCCTGCCGTCCTGCGCTCTGAGTCACCGGGGGTGGGGAGCCCAGGGACTCGCCTTGGGAAGCCCTCTCTGACTACCAGCTGCTGCACAGTGGGCTCACGAGCCCTGCTCTGCCCCAGCGCTGGCTGGCTGTTTACACACCCCACTTTGACACATGCGAGTGCCCTGTCCCTTGTCTTCGGGGCACGGGCAATATGCCCCACTCTGTGGAAGCAGAGCACCTCGAGTCCCTGGTTTCACCAGACACATGGGGCTACGTCTACACTGGCATGATTTTCCGGAAACGCTTTTAACGGAAAAAAAAGTTTTCCGTTATAAGTATTTCCAGAAAAAGCACGTCTAGATTGGCAGGACGCTTTTCTGGAAAAGCACTTTTTCCGGAAAAGCGTCCGTGGCCAATCTAGACGCGCTTTTCCGCAAAAAAGCCCCGATTGTCATTTTCGCGATCGGGGCTTTTTTGCGGAAAACAGTACTGTGCTGTCTACACTGGCCCTTTTCTGGAACAGTTTTCCAGAAAAAGACTTTTGCCCGAACGGGAGCAGCATGGTTTTTCTGGAAAAGCACTGATGATTTTACAGGAGATCGTCAGTGCTTTTCCGGAAATTCAAGCGGCCAGTGTAGACAGCTGGCAAGTTTTTCCAGAAAAGCAGATGATTTTCCGGAGTAACTTGCCAGTGTAGACACAGCCATGGGGTATGTCTAGACTACATGGCTCCCTCGACGGAGCTATGTAGATGAGTTTACTAGACATAGGAAAATGAAGTGGCGATTTAAATAATTGCCACTTCATTTACATCAAAATGGCCGCCGCACTATGCCGATCAGCTGTTTGGCGGCACAGCGCGATAGACTGGATGCTCCACGATCAACAATGGAAGCCTTTGTCGACCACTCCGTTATGCCTTGTGGAATGAGGTTTACCGGAGCGGTCGACAAAGGCTTCCATTGTTGATCGTGGAGCATCCAGTCTATCGCGCTGTGCCGCCAAACAGCTGATCGGCATAGTGCGGCGGCCATTTTGATGTAAATGAAGTGGCAATTATTTAAATCGCCACTTCATTTTCCTATGTCTAGTAAACTCATCTACATAGCTCCGTCGAGGGAGCCATGTAGTCTAGACATACCCCTAGACAGGTCATGAGTAAAATCAAATGAATGGTTATTTAACAGAGCTTGAGATAAATGTTCAAATGGCAAGCAAGTGAAAGGAGTTGGAAACATAAAAGTTACAGGTAGGAGAGAAGAGGGGATAGGACCGAGGTCTATACCATCATGACTGTGGAAAAAGCAAATAAGGAAGTTATTTACTTGTTCCCATAACATAAGAACTAGGGGTCATCAAATGAAATTAATAGGTAGCAGGTTTAAAACAAGCAAAAGGAAGTTTTTCTTCATGCAGCGCACCGTCAACCTGTGGAACTCCTTGCCAGAGGATGTTATGAAGACTAGGACTTTAACAGGGTTCAAAAAAGAGCTAGATAAATTCATGGAGGTTAGGTCCATCAATGGTTATTAGTCAGGATGGGTAGGAATGGTGTCCCTAGCCTCTGTTTGTCTGGAAATGGATGACAGGGGAGGGATTACATGATGATTATCTCTTGTGTTCGCTCCCTCTGGGGCATTGGCTTCTGTCGGAAGACAGGACACTGGGCTGGTTGGATCTTTGGTCTGACCCAGTATGGCCGTTCTTATGTAAGAAAACCGCACAAGGCACTTCATAGCCTAGCTCAGGGGTGTTCAGTCTGTATACCATGGTGTGCTGCGTATGCAGTTTTGTGTGCCACATCCACACAACATCTATACTACCTGTGTGTCCCAGAGGCTGTCACGTGGGCTGCATGTGGCCCGTGGGCTGAGAACCACGGCTCTGTACTTACTAAGCAGTTCCCTTCCTGTCTACTCCAGTATTTCTCACCTCGTGGTCAGTCCTTACAGGGCATGGCTGGCCCAAAAGAGCTGG